TCTAGGTGGTGTTCCCATGTATCTGCTGCCCTTGCCCTTCTAGGTGGAAGTGGCTGTGGGTTTGAAAGATGCTGCCCGAGATGCTGGGCACCAATGGAGGAGGCTGACATGGACCATCCCCTTGGCCCTTCTGATTAAAGATTAAATGCTTCAGCTTTACCTTTGCACTAATATGATGAGCTCTTCCATCATTGAGGATGGGGATATTTGTGGAGCCTCCTGCTCCAGTGAGCTATTTAGTTGTCCACCACCATTTATGACTGGACATGGCAGGACTGTAGAGCTTAGATCTGATCCGTTGGTTGTGGGATCGCTTAGCTCTGTCTATCACTTGCTGCTTATGCAGTTTGGCGTGCAAGGAGTCCTGTTTGGTGATTTCACCAGGTATGCCTGCTGCTGCTCCTGGCATGCCCTCCTGCACTCTCCATTGATCCAGAGCTGATCCCCTTGGCTTGATGGTAATGGTTGAGTGAGGGATATGCCAGGCCATGAGGTTACAGATTGTGCTGGAGTACAGTTCTGCTGCTGTTGATGGCTCAGTGCTTCATGGATCCCCAGTCTTGAGTTGCTAGGTCGGTTTGAAGGCTGTCCCATTTAGCACAGTGATAGTGCCACACAACACGTGGAGGTTATTCTCAATGTGAAGGCAGCTGTTTATATTGGCCCAGACCTGTCCATGACAGAGAAAAACCACAAAAGTAATTCGTTATTACTCTTTTGCAGTGAGTGCAGAGATGATCCCAATTAGTGGGAACTTATGAAGTAGGAAAAGCTTGAGGATATTTGATTTACATTTTCTGGGGAAAGCAAGTAGGCTTTGAGACAATGTAATCCAGATTTTTAGCATGTGTTGTTTTTAGCACAAAGACGTTTTCATTCTGTTAATGGTTTTGTCATTCAGTCATTTGACATGAAAGAACACAAGAAGTGATGAATGAGCAATACTACCCTTATTCACAGCAGCGATTTGCTTTAAAACTTAGCCTGTGATTTCTGATGACTTTCCTTAACACTGTCTATTCTCTAGTGCTCTCTGCTGCTTCGACAGTTATTGTGTCAACTACTAGGTTTCTGAAACAAATACTATTGTTCCATTTGGCCCTAGGAAATGCGTCATCTATCTGTTAAAAAATATTTATAATTGTCTTTAATCCTTTCAATTTTGAGCCCCTATCGTGTAGCCGTTCCCCCTCAATCTTCCTGGTTAGCAGCTCCCTGTCTCTAATGGTGTTTCCCTTCACTCCACCCAAAGCCTCCTCCACTATCAAATCTCAGATGTTCAGATGATTAGATGGGACCCAACCTCCCGTGTCTATCCTGGGGTTGATCACCCAGAAGATCAGCACTCGCCCCCGAGCTTGAGAGACGGGAGGAGATCTGGCACTTCTGTGTTCGTCCGACTGAGGGATTGCTAGAGTAGGGCTTGGAAAATTACACTTAGCTTGTGTTCTACAGTTGGGCTTGCATGAGGAGACGGTGACACAGTGTTAATGTCACTGAACCAGCAGAGGCCATGGATTCGAATCTCACTGTGGCAGATAGTGAAATCTGAGTTCAGTCAAATCTCGGATTTAAAAAGCTAGCCTAGTGGTGTGACCCCGTTTGCTGTAAAAACCCATTTTAGTTCACTAATATCCTTTAGGCAGGGAAATCAACCATCAATATCTGGTCTGATCTACATGTGACTCCAAACCTGGTTGACTTTTAAGTGCAAATGAGCAATACATGCTGGCCGAGCCAGTGACGTCCCATAACTAAGTAAAAAGAAAAAAAAACCTGCCTTAATTTGGCTCAGCTTTGGGAGTATTTTTTGATACTGAAGTCACTGTAGTGTCTAGGGTAAGTGCAAGCTGAAGCCAGACCATTCTGACTATGGCCAGCCATGATCATAGAATCGCTACAGTGTGGAAGCAGACCATCCAACCCACCGAGTCCACACCGGCCGTCCGAAGAGCGTCCCTACCAGACCCACACTCCTATCCTATCCCTCTAACCCTGCATTTCCCATGGCTAATCTACCTAACCTGTACCATCCCTGGACACTATAGTAATTTAGCATGGCCAATCCACCCAACCTGCATATCTTTGGGCTGTGGGAGGAAACCGGAGCACCCGGAGGAAACCCACACAGACTCGGGGAGATTGTGCAAACTCCACGCAGGCAGTCACCCGACTCACATCCTGGTGCTTTGAGGCAGCAGTGCTAACCACTAAGTCACTGTGCTGCTGAATTATGATGAATGATGAAACAGCTCGGGGGCTGAATGGTCTTTTCCTGCTTCTGTTTTTGACATTCTTATTGTCCTTGGAAAGTACAGAAATCGCTGTTGTTAAATTGTGGGATATTATACCAGTTTAAGTCTTGTCACAACATTTACACCTACAGTGATAACACAGTGTGGAGCTGGAGGAACACAGCAGGCCAGAAGGGTTTTTCTGAAGAAGGGTCCTGACCCGCCGAAACATCAGCTTTCCTGCTCCTCTGATGCTTCCCGGCCTGCTGTGTTCCTCCAGCTCCACACTGTGTTATCACTGACTCCAGCATCGGCAGTTCTTACTATCTCTATGTCTACAGTGAGCTGATTTGACATGGGCGGGTGGTCCACTTTCGGATTGATACGGGCTGTGGGGAGTGAAGCTAAGCAGGACCTCACCTGTTTTGTGTATGGTCTGCTATTCCTTTGCTGTTTTTAGGAATTGTTTCCTACCTTTTTTAAACCTAGTTCATTTCAACACTTACAGGAGTATTTTCTGAAGCCAGAGCTGACTTCTAGTTTGCTCCGAGAAGGGATGCTCCTTCGTTGCCATGCAAAAGGGTGTTCAAATTTCATCGAGAGTGAAACTGCATTAACTCTGAGAAAAATATTGAATAGACAGGTGAGTATTTTAAAAGGGGTTTTTATTGAAGGGGTTGATAAAATGATGGCTCCTTGTTTGTGACCACAGTGGTAACCTCTAGGTAAATTACGTAGAAACCGAGAGACATAGAAAATAGGAGTAGGCCATTCATCCCTTTGAGCCTGCTCTGCTATTGGATGAGCATGGGTAACTATTTAACTCAGTATCCTTTTCCCACTCTGTCTCTATTCCCTTTGGTCCCTTTAGCCCTAAGAACTATATTTAACTCCTTGAAAACATTCAATGTTTTGGGCTCATCAGCTTTCTATGGTCAAGAATTCCACAGGCTCACCACTCTCTGGGTGAAGACATTTCTCCTCATCTGAGTCCTATATGGTCTTCGCTGTATCCTTAGACTTTGACCCCTGGTTCTGGACTCCCTGGTCATCATCCCTGGACTTCATCTGCGGGAAGTGCACCCAACTCCAGCTCCTCGGAAACCGTGTTAGGGAACTGGAGCTGGAGCTGGATGAACTTCGGATCATTCGGGAGGCTGAGGGGGTAATTGAGAGGAGTTATGGGGAGGTAGTCACACCTCAGGTACAGGAAAAAAGTAGATGGGTTACAGTCAGGGGACGGAAAGGGAACAGGCAGACAGTGCAGGGATCCCCTGTAGCCATTCCCCTCAAAAACAAGTATACCGTTTTGGATACTGTTGGGGGGGACGACTTACCAGGGGTAAGCCATGGGGTACAGGTCTCTGGCACAGAGTCTGTCCCTGTTGCTCAGAAGGGAAGGGGGGAGAGGAAAAGAGCATTAGTCATTGGGGACTCCATAGTTAGGAGGACAGATAGGAGATTCTGTGGGAACGAGAGAGACTCGTGGTTGGTGTGTTGCCTCCCAGGTGCCAGGGTCCGTGATGTCTCGGATCGTGTTTTCGGGATCCTTAAGGGGGAGGGGGAGCAGCACCAAGTCGTGGTCCACATAGGCACCAACGACATAGGTAGGAAAAGGGATGGGGACGTAAGGCAGAAATTCAAGGAGCTAGGGTGGAAGCTTAGAGCCAGAACAAACAGAGTTGTTATCTCTGGTTTGTTACCCGTGCCACGTGC